CCCCTTTTTTGTCCACTTTTGATTTTTGGAACTGTTCATCTAAGCACTTTGACTCATCAAATTCTCTTAATGTGTAAGCCTAAATATAGTCATGTGTGATCTTGTTTAATTTGTCTTAACATATAGATTATTAATATATAATTTCTATAATTTTTTAGTATACAAATTACAAGATAAAATGGAATAAAGAAGTACATTAGATGGTGTGTAAAAATAAAAGTAGACAAATATATACTCACTGTTTATGAATCACGGGAAAAAGCTAAGGGAGAAAATAGTTAGACCCAACGCGTGATTTATTAAACTTCGATTATACACACGCTAATGGCATGTTCTTTCCCATTAGTATTTGAGATTTAAGTCTTGTTTGGGAACCATATTTTTTTATTATTAATTTTAGCATTTTTTACTCATTAAATTATGAGGTACATAATAAAGTATATACTCCTTACACAACTACAAATTAAGAATGAAAACTCATAAAAATACTACATCTACCATAACCAGGAATAGGAAGCTGACTAATAATCAAACATTATCATAAGTAATACGGAGTAGTATTGTTATTGTCTAACACAAAATGTTAACACGAATCTCTAAAGCTGATGCCAAACACGCCTTAGAGCCTCTTCTTTAAGTCCGGAAAACGTAGCATTAACTCCCAGAGATAATTCGTCATTAGTAGACGAGTATGGTAGGAATTGTAATTTTAGCAATTTTATTGAACTAATCTTATATTATTCTTTTAGGTGTGTTTTAAAAATAATCTATTTTACAAAGAGTTAATTGATCATTAATTTTTAATTATTCAATACAAATTTTAAAAATGCAAGTGCGCAATGGATTGGTTCATAATTTTTAATAATAACCATTATTACGCCACTAATGGCATGGACTGGTTCATAATTTATTACATGCAATTATGCCTATTAAAAGAATCCTTCATGCTTAGTTGCTTACAATTTTGAGGATTAATACGTGAGTAATTTGAATGGTTATGGGCTTAATAATCATTAATTTCCCACTAATGCCAATTATTAAAGAAAAGCATTAAAAGTGTAGTGAGGTTACAGTTGCAATTCCTTTTAAAAAGCTTAGAGCCTCTTCTCTACTAATGCAATTATATAGTGTCTCACTAAGTCAAAACATTCATAATAGAAGCGAGATAAAAAAAATTGAAAAATAAAATGCAAGAAGATAAAATGATGAGAAAAAGTAAAATATTAAAAATATATTGAAATAAGACTTTCATGTTTTTATTCTCGACTTAGGAGTTAAAATGCATTTACATTACTAAAAATTATAGTAATGTGCACATGTACAGTGCCGCATTATTACAACCACATTATCACATTGCGAAATTTTATTTCGGAAATAAAAAATAGAACTAATATTTTAATACTTTTTTCTATGTTTTAGTCCTATTTAGAGTGATTTCTATAAAATAAATTTATTTTGAGGATAGAGCTAGAAATGTTGAAACTTGTAATAAGCCACTTAGTTATCCATTTTCTTTTATGGTAATAAAAACATTAAATTTTATTTTGAAATGAACATAAAAGGGAAATAATAATTTTATTGTGAAGCAGGCTAGGAGGGTAGTTAGTGATACTCTCGTAGCTAAATGTTAAGAACGGTTCATTATTACATTGTCTTCTTTCTTATTTAAGGTTTTGGATATATATATATATATATATATATATATATATATATATATATATATATATATATATATATATATATATATATATATATATATATGGAGTATAACATTGTTTATATTTGTCTTATAGATTATTTAACAAAATAAATTAGATATGTGACCACTGTAGAATATTTAATATACTTTTATTTTAAATATATAAATTATATTTTGACTTCAAATTATTATACCCAATTGATAACAAAATCATTTCAAAATATATAAGATTCACACATTATTCAAAAGAAGATGATAAGACGTACGAACATCTCGAACCTTGTTGTTAAATGGCTACTCCTTTTGTCTCAATTTAAAATATATGTTTCGATTTAGGATGTTTGGCTGAAATTTTTTTAAATAATATTATATGTAAAATTGTGTAGAATTAAACAATTTACATATTTAAAAATTAAATCAAAAGATCTACAGAACTAGCGGTGACATAATTATATTATTTTATCAAATGATTAACAAAAATAGAAAAAGAAAGCAAATAAAGTTTGATAATGTGGATAATAAATACTCCCTCCGTACACAAATAAACTTTACGTTCACTATTCACAGGTTCAAACTTTATTTACCTTTTTGGCCTATTTTTGTCATCCATTTGATAAAATAAAATAGTCATGTCACCTCTAGTTTTGTAGATCTTTTGATATAGTTTTTTAATATGTAATTTTTATTTTTCAATTCTACACCATTTTTTATATAAAATGATTTGAAAATAACTTCAGTCAAACATCGTAACGCGTAATGTAAAGTTTATTTGTGGACGAAGGGAGTATGTAATTTAATTTGAGACGGTGAATAGTTAAATATAACAATTCTAACAATTTATTTTTATTTTTGTCCAATCCAAATGAAGAGGTAAATTATATGGAGTAACAAATTTCATATTTTAACTGACAGACTTGTTATGTATAATGACTACTCTTGTTACGGAGTATATTACTTTTCCCGTCTCAAATTAATTACAACTTTTTCTCTCATCTCTCGATGACTTTTATTTATATATTTATTTATTTATTTTCATTGATTATTTGATAAAATAAAATAATCTTACGTCCTTTTGTCTTGTAAAACTTTGACGTAGTTTTTCAATATCTAAATTTATTTTTTTATTGATGTATCAATTTATAAATAAAATTCCTTTAAAAGACATGAGATTTTTCCCTGCAACTACAATTTAAATTGGGAAGGATGAAATATACACCTTTTTCACCTATCTTTTTGTCATATATGCGTGATTTGAGAGATTGCTTAAACAATAAACCGCTAAAATACAAGCTAAAACAACCTTTAAGAATTCAAGAGCATCCTATGTAGGTTCCATTCAAAAAATTGATTATTATAATCCCTAAATTCACTTACCCCAACACCCTTGACTCCACCTCTAAGATGGATTGTAGAGAAGGGGAGGGGGAGGAGAGATGGGATCCTCTGTCCCCAATTCCCTGTCCCAACTCCATGTCCCCCTCCCTCCTCCACTCATATTTTGTCATGTAACCCACCCCACCCTAACTTAACACACACCCATCCCATATGATCCCCTATCCTACCACCCATTAAAGAGAGTGGGTGTGTGTTAAGTTAGGGTGGGGTGGGTTACATGGCAAAATATGAGTGGAGGAGGGAGGGGAACATGGAGTTAGGACAGGGAATTGGGGACAGAGGATCCCATCCCGGGGGAGGATAGCTTGGGATGAAGTGTAAGAAGGGGCAATGGATAGATTTATGAGGTAGAAATTATCGATTTTACCAATTGAGTCATGTAGAAAGTCGGAGTCATGCTATGACATTAGAAGCAAGTATCACATAAATTGTGGTATTTTTAACCATTCAATCAGCAAGGTTCCACGACCACTCTATTTGAGTGGCTACGGAAGTCACTAATATTCTATAGTGCTCCGTTCGCAAAATTGATAGTTTCTATCCCTAACTCCTTTGGTAAACCCCACACAGTCCGGACCTAAATTAGTATCCTATCCACGTTAATTGTACCGTGCAAGTTTAGTTGACTTTCAAGTAAAAAAAATTTGACCTCAAAGTCAATTAAACTTGCGGGGTGTAATTGATGGGAATGTGGGAATTAGTTAGGGTCAAGACTTGGTGGGGAACTTAGAAGGTGCAATTGACGTGGGTGAGGAATTAGCTGGGGTCAGGACTGGGTGAAGGAAAATAGTATCCTAATTGCAATGGTGACTTCTGTGACACTAAAAGAGTGTGGTCATAAAATTGGCTGGCCATTCAATTGGAGATTTGTAGAAGTGAAATTTGCACAAAATAGTACTAAAACATATGTCATTTTTCAATTTAGTACTTGAACTTTTTTACTTCCTAAATAGTACTTGAATAATGTCTGTTGGTGGGTACAATGTGTAGTGATGGTAGTCATTTAGTTTGAACAATATCCAGTGGCGGTAGATATTACTTTAGAAATCCTCTAAATAGGACTAAAACATAGAAAAAAGTAACAAAATAGGACTTTCAGTTTTTTTATCGAAATAAGACTTTGACAGTACTATACTTTTTGGTAATGTACATAACCATGTTTGGTAATGTAATCATATTTCAGGAATAAAAATATGGAAGTCCTATTTTGGTCTATTTTCAATGTTTTAGTCCTACTTTGGTCTTTCTCACTATTTACTTGAATTATAATCAGTAGACAATGACCAATGGTACTATATTAGAAAATAAAAACATACTCTCTCCGTCCCACTGTCTTTGTCCACTTACCTTTTGGCACACCATTCAATGCACTTCTTTAATCCATTTTATCTTGTAATTTGTATATTAAAAAATTATAGAAATTATATATTAATAATCTATATGTTAAGACGAATCAAATAAGATCACACATGACTATTTTTAGGCTTACACATTGAGAGAATTTGATGAGTCAAAGTGCTTAGATAAACAGTTCCAAAAGTCAAATGTGGACAAAGACAGTGAGACGGAAGTAGTATGATACTATATCAATAAAATATTTATGTTTTAATACTATTTAGATAAATAATTTGTCTAAATCAAAATTTGAACACCAAAATAAGTTTCCACAAGCAAGGTGGGGCCCAAAAACGGTTCGGACTCAGGAGGTTAATTGTGTCAATTCGTAAGCATCTTTACCATTCCTCCTTGGCTTTAAATTCCCCTAGACAGAGAGAAAAAGAGAGCTATACAGAGAGTGTGTGACTGCGTGTATATATATATATATATACACAGCTGCCCCTCTTTCTTCTTCCCTTTTCTTCTTCTTAATGTTCTTCAATATTCATCCCCCTGGCGATGTACAAAGCCTAGAATGATTCCGATTCCGTCAATGGCTTCTTCGATCTCTCCGCCGCTGATTATCTTCACCGTCCTTGTCTCCGCTGCATGCGCCGCCGCCGCCGCCGGAAACCTAGCCGAGATCCAGGCGCTCAGCGATTTCAAGCTCGGTCTTCACGACCCGCTTGAATCTCTCTCCGATTGGGACTCCTCTTCTCCGGCGGCTCCCTGCGACTGGAGCGGCGTTTATTGCGTCAATGGCCGCGTCAGTAAACTGGTCCTCTCTCGGCAAGGGCTCAGCGGCCCGCTCACGCCCCGAATTTCTGAGCTCCGGTTGCTCCGGAAGCTGAGTCTCAGTTCGAACTCCTTCAATGGCAGCATTCCTTCCTCCATTTTGGAATGTTCGCTCTTACATTCTGTTTTTCTCCAGGACAACTCGTTCTCCGGCGTCCTGCCGCCGGGAATTTCGAAGCTCGCTGGTCTGAAGATTTTCCATGTCGCCGGAAACAAGCTCTCCGGCGGAATTCCGGCGGATTTACCACCGAGTCTCACCTACTTCGATCTCTCCTCGAACTCCCTCACTGGAGAGATAACCAGGAACATTTCGAATCTCTCTCAGCTCCGGTTCCTTAACATCTCCGGGAATCTGATTTCAGGCGAGATTCCGGCAGGTTTAGGAGAGCTCCAACAGCTTCAGTACCTATGGCTTTCAAACAACAATTTGCAAGGGACTCTGCCCTCTGCAATTGCCAATTGCTCGTCACTGGTCCAGCTGAATGCCGAAGGGAATGAAATCAGCGGCGTCATTCCAGCCGCCATTGGCGCGCTTCCTACTCTTCAGGTGATATCTCTAACACACAATAATCTCTCTGGCTCAATACCCTCTTCATTGTTCTGCACTGCATCGGTTCATCCTCCATCTATTCGGGTTGTTCAGCTAGGGTTTAACTCATTCACGGATATTGTACCACCCGAATCATCTCAATGTTTCTCTACTTTACAAATTCTGGAGATTCAGCATAATGGCATCCATGGCAATTTCCCCTTGTTCTTGACAAGCAGTTCTGCATTAACTTCCATAGATGTTTCTGGGAACTCGCTCTCGGGTACTATCCCTCGTTTTATTGGGAATTTATCATTACTGGAGGAATTAAGAATGGCTAACAATTCATTTGATGGCGTTGTACCTGTTGAGATCACAAAATGTGTTGGTATGAAGATTCTTGATCTGGGAGGAAATCACTTGTCTGGGATCATTCCTGCATTCCTAGGGCAGCTTAGAAACTTGACAAGCTTGTCTCTCGGTAGGAATCAGTTCTCTGGCTTCATTCCTTCGAGTTTCGGGGATCTGGTTCATCTTGCGAATCTGGACTTGGGAGGCAATGCTCTTTCCGGGAGATTACCGGAGGAATTGATGGGATTGATCAATTTGAGCAGACTGGACCTCAGCTCAAACCACTTTTCTGGTAGTATTCCTGTGAGCTTTGGAAACCTACAAGAGCTTTCTGCTCTGAACTTGAGTGGCAGTGGGTTTTCAGGGAGAGTTCCAACAAGCATTGGCACTCTCTACAAGTTACAAGTTCTTGATCTGAGCAGACAAAGTTTGTCCGGGGAATTGCCCTTTGATCTCTATGGTTTGCCTAGCTTGCAAGTGATTGCATTGCAAGAGAACAGGTTGTCTGGTGAAGTTCCTGAGGGTTTCAGTAGCTTATCAGGTCTGCAGTATTTGAACCTCTCCACTAATTCATTCTTTGGTCACATTCCCTCCACTTTTGGTTTCTTGAAGTCACTACTTGTTCTCTCCTTGTCTCACAATAAAGTGTCTGGTTTCATCCCCCTTGAGCTGGGCAACTGTTCTGCTCTTGAAGTTCTCGACCTGCGTTCCAATTCACTGAGCGGTCAAATCCCCAAAGATCTTTCTCGTCTCTCCCGTTTGAGGGCCCTTGATTTGAGCCAGAACAACCTAACCGGTGAAATCCCGACAGAGATATCGAATTGTTCATCCCTAACTTCACTAGTTCTCGCCTCAAACCATCTTTCGGGTCACATACCCGAGTCACTCTCCCACCCGCCAAACTTATTGACCCTGGATCTCTCAAACAACAACCTGGATGGAGAGATTCCTCCGGTTTTGGGATCCCGTTTCCCCAACCCGTCCGATTACAAGGGAAACCGAGCTTTGTGCGGGAAACCATTGAGTAGTGAATGCAAAAGGTCTGGTGGTGGCAAAGGGAACAATAGGCTGGTCATGTTAATAGCAATAGGTGCAAGTGGAGCTCTTCTCCTAGCATCATGTTGTTGCTTCTACTCCTACGCCCTGATTAGGTGGCGTCACAGATATCAGGACAATGTAAAGAGAGCTACGGGTGTCGAGAAGCCCGGTCCAGCCCGTGTTAGTTGTGCTCGCATGAGCAGCGAGAGCGGTGGTGGGCCCAAGCTCGTGATGTTCAACAACCGGATCACGTTGGCCGAGACGGTGGAGGCGACGGGACAGTTTGACGAGGATCACGTGCTGAGCCGGACGAGGTGGGGCGTGGTTTTCAAGGCGTGCTACGATGACGGGACGGTTCTCTCGGTTCGAAGGCTCGTTCCGGACGCGTCGAGGCCCGACGAGAACGCTTTCCGGAAGGAGGCGGAGATGCTCGGGAAGGTGAAGCACCGGAACCTCACCGTCCTCCGCGGGTACTACGCGGGCCCACCCGACGACCTCCGTCTCCTCGTCTATGACTACATGCCGAATGGGAACCTCGCGACGCTCCTCCAAGAGGCGTCCCACCAAGACGGCCACGTCCTCAATTGGCCGATGCGCCACCTCATCGCGCTCGGGATCGCCCGCGGCCTCGCATTCCTTCACGCCACGTCATCCATCGTCCACGGGGACGTCAAGCCGCAAACCGTGTTGTTCGACGCGGACTTCGAAGCCCACCTCTCGGATTTCGGCCTCGACAAGCTCGCGGTCCCCACCACCTCGCCTCCGTTTCAGCAGCAGGCATCAAACTCGGCCCCGGTCACCGGGACCCTCGGGTACGTATCGCCCGAGGCCGCGCTGACGGGGGAGGTCACGAGAGAGTCCGACGTGTACAGCTTCGGGATCGTGTTGCTCGAGCTTCTCACGGGGAAAAGGCCGGCGATGTTCATGGAGAACGAAGACATCGTGGAATGGGTGAAGAGGCAGTTGCAGAGGGGGCAAATAGCGGAACTACTCGAACCGGGTTTGTTGGAGCTGGACCCGGAGTCTTCGGAATGGGAGGAATTCTTGCTGGGGATAAAAGTGGGATTGCTTTGTACGGCGCCGGACCCGCATAACCGGCCCACCATGACGGACATCGTCTTCATGCTCGAAGGTTGCCGGGTCGAACCGGACATTCCTTCCCCGGCCGATCCCACAAGTCAACCTTCTCCGACAGCCTGAATGGCCTACAAAATTTGTAACTGAAAAAAAAAGGGAAAAAAATTTGAATTGCAGCAGGAGCTCTCTTTTTTTAGTCACTAGTTTTCCATTCGACCGTTGCATTTTGTTGTATTCCATTTATTTGTGGCGTCCAGAGGTTTGTGTTTGGTGGTGAACTTTGTTGGAAGTTGAAACGAAGCAAGCGCGTTTTGTCATGCCCAAAAATTTTAATTTATTTAAATTAAAATTAACTCAAAATAAAAACATGAAATGCATATTCCATCAAAATTCAAATTTAAAATTACATTGAATAAAGTGAAAAGAGGAAGAGATAAGAGCAGGAAAAAATCAAATATTGCCGTACTTCTAAGTCACTTCTGGCTAATTTTGCTATTGCGCTCTAGAGGTGGCAAATGATCAAGACTTGCCATCAAAATCTCGTACTCTTTAGCTCATTATGTTCGCGCTCTAGCTGAGGTGCCTCGTCGCCAGCTTTACTGTTCACTCGAATCTTGTCCAACTGCACTTCGTTGAAGCTTGTCATGGTGGAGACAAGATCGTCGATAGTAGATCCTTGGGTCTAGGCGCCATTGACGATGAAGCCCTCTTTGCCTTCGCATTCTCCCCGCCGACGGGTCGTGTCGATCGTCAATACTAGTTGAATAATTCCTCTGCCACATATGGTTTTGGAAATGGGCGCCAAGCCGTCTATGCCCCCCTCCTTTTTCTTTATTGTTTTTCTTTGTTTTCTTTTTTTCATAGAGAAGAAAAATATTTGTGTGTGAAATAATGAAAAATTGTTTTTTTAAAGTTACATTTTTAAAAATTATAAAAATGCTTGTATCTAAAATTAAAAAATTAACATATACTTCATTTGTCAAATTAAATAATTTCATTTTTTGTCTAAACATTTTTTTATCAATTTGAATATGTCAGGACCAAAAGAATATTGAATAACGTCTAATTTTATATATAGTTAATTACTCCGTATATATTAATACTCCCTCCGTTTCTTAAAACCCTTCCTCTTTCATTTTTTTTGTTTTTCTTAAAACATTTCTCCTTTCTATTAAAAAACCACTTTTACCCCTACTTTTTCATACCCTACCTATCACATCATACTTTTTCACTAACAACTAAGCTATCACATCTTACGTTTACCCATCACATCAAGGGTAAAATTGGAAAGTCAACTACAATTTAACACTTCCTTATTTTCCCCCAAAGTCAAAAGAGGAACTCTTTTGAGAAACGGAGGTAGTAATATTTTTTGGACCAATGCGCAAAAGATTTTATTCATGACTTAATTTTTCCTATTCTATAAAATTATTTTTCTTGTACTTTTCTTTTTCATTAATTTTTTTCTATTCTTTTTTATTTTATTTTTATTTTGATTAAAATAAAAGAAAAGGTATAAAATTAATGAACAGAAAATGGGAAATGAGTTTTAAGTAAAAAGAGAATATTTCATTAATTTTCATATCATGAAAATGAACCAATAAAGACATCTTTTAGATAACAAATGAAAATATTTTTTTAAGATAAATGAAGTGTACATTAATTCTTATTTAATTGAATTTTATTGCAAACACAAAAAATTCGATTATTAAAACATTACTCCCTCTGTCCCATTTTAAATTATCTATTTACCTTTTTTCTCCTTCCTAAAATAAGTTGCATGTTAGTTGTTTTTGTAAACTTTTAAAAATAAAATACCTAAACTACCCCTAAAATAAGTCAATCTTCTTCACCTTATCTTCTCATTCATCATCACCCGTTCTAAAAAGTAATGTCAATTTCGAAAAATCAACTCTATTTTTTATTTTTTTTAAATATGCCCAAAAGTCAAAACAGGCGATTTAAATTGGGATGAAGGGAGTATAAAAAAGTAATTTTAAAAAAGAAATTAAAAACATTTATGAAAAAAGAAAAATAATAAGGAAAAGAGGGGACGTTTGTACCAAATTCCAAAACCAAAGGGGGCAATGGAGCTATTTACATAATTATTTGAAGGATATTTTAGCCTAAATGGGCATTAGCGTAGCAATATCAAAACCATGAGAGGCAACATAAGTTTTGAAATCATAGAGGGTAACAATATCTATTTACCAAACCACATGGGATAATGGTGCAATAAACCCTATTATTATTATTACCACTACTATTAGTATGATTATTATCAGTGTTATTATTATTAGTGTTATTCTTATTCCAAAATGTGTGAGGTACACACTCATATTTTATATAGACCCCAAATTTTTCAAATTAATTGAAAAGTTAATTAACTGTGCACATCGCACGGGTGAAGTACTAGTTTATTATTTAATTAAAAAAAAAACATAACAATAAGAACTAGCAAAGTGGCAATGCAATACTTTTGGATCAGCATCATATATTTCAGAGAACTGAGAGAAGAGAGAATATGCTGGGCTGCTCCTGCTGCACACATATGTGCAAAAAACTTGACATCATTTTCATGTAGGCCCCGTTTGGTACATGAAATTCAAATTATGGAATTGGAATTGGGGACTTCAATTTCAATTCTAGTGTTTGGTAACACAAAAATTATGTAGATTTGGAATTGATAGTGCAAAAAATGAATTTAAATTGACAGAATTCAATTCTATGGAATTGAATCCTATGGAATTACAATTCCAATTACACCAATTCCTTATACCAAACGGACCCTCACCAAACAAGAGGAATATTCTGTACGGAGTATTACCATTTAAGCATGATATTTATGCTCGTTGCTAACTTCTATCTGTTGTGGCACTCAATAGAGAAACTCCATTGAATCATGTGCGCCTCATCTGCAATAAGATAGTTATCAAGCAAAGGTTGCAAAATTGGCTACAGGATCAATATGATAAGTAGAGATAAAGAAATTAAAGAGATGGTTCAAGGACGGGCAATTGCCAATCCCACGGGATATTCCAAATGATGGTCCAAGAAAACGGCTATACCTGATTCGTTAGCACAAAAACTTTTGGCTTTTCCCGGAGTGAGGCGTGACTCTGCTACGCCGCAGCTAAAAAATCCCTTGAACCCCTCTTTAACCGGCAGTGGAAATGCCATTGGTGAGTTCCCCGCAGGCCATTGGTGATTATAGACGCTTGCATTCATCTGTGCATTAAGAAAGAGAGGCAGAGACGATGAGAGTGATACTGGGGATCCAAAAGAGCACAGAGCTTTATACATTTTAGCATGCTAGAAAAGGGAAAACAGGTCGGGCAATTGCATTAAAAATAGCATTATACAGCATTTTCGATATGTTTGTTGTTTAAGGTGTGACGGGTAAATCCTTTTTGTAAATTTGTCTTCTACAAGTCTGGCATAAGAAGATCATGTCATGTGTATCACTGTATCAGCAAATCATTCATATTGTAAAGTACTTTGATTTAGTTTTTCATCTACGGAGTATATAACTTGAAACCCTTGTAAACACCAGTACAATCTGTAATTTCCGAGCATGTAACTAAATGGAAATATTACAAAAATCGTCTACGAAGCAGACATACAACAACAAAAACATTACCCCAGTGGCATGGATTAATAGAGACACAAGAATACTCAAACTGAGATATATAACCTCTGCATACTCATTTATTATGAAATGGAGAAAACACTTGGTCTAACTGGATGAACCACAATACTCATGTTTTAAGTTTTTTAAAAGTTAAAAGTATTTTCCTTAGCATGTGTAGATGAGTTAAATTAAATAAAGATAAAGAGATAGGGCCATTATGCAATTTTAAAAGTTAAAATGATGTGGCTAAAAAGTCCATATGGAAGCAATTTAGTGGGAGGGCATCCATGCCCCTTCATTAACAAAGGCACCGGAGAAATTCCCTAATTTTAATACTAGATTTTATAACATAGAGAGTAATAAAGACATAATCAATAATATGTAACTAATAAACATAATAAAAGGTAATATTCCAACACATACAACGCATACCTTACATTTACCTCTAGCTACTCGATATTGTATAATGGGAGAAATGCCTAAATAGAAATAAGAGATGATAAAAATATAAAGTTGCAGCACTCTTTTTGTAACCTAAATGAGAATTTACATTGTCGCTCCCACACTACACACCTCCACGACAAACTGCCACCACAGTGTAACCGCCGGTTGACAAAGAAGCGCCATGGGTCATCGGAGCAGCAGGCGCCAAACTGCCACCATCACATTGCCACCACACTACCACTATTTACACTACTATATTATCATCTCAATACTCTATTTACAGAGTTAGTATTTAGCTACAATTATAACTAACTCAATATTCTTTGATCCCCTTTAGTTTATGTAAATAAAATTTGATTAAATTTGTTTGCAGTCAGGATGTTGTATACCACCTTCAAAATGTGGGCTATATTTTGTGAGCCCAACGTACTGGACAACCCTAACTCGCAACCACACATATGATGATTCTGATTGTACAATGTGGAATAACCGCTCAACAAAACTTTGCTACAATTGCCATTCTTGCAAAGAAGGATTATTTGCCAAAATAGGAAAGAAAGGGAGAAGGGCATTCTATTTTTTGCTAGGTACCTATGTGGCATTGATTTTTGTTACCATCTACAACTTGTGGGGCAGTAAAATTATCAAAGAGAAGTGATCAATTCTATCATGTATCATTCTTTTCTAAGTTGTTTTTATTATCAATTGTGAAACACAAATAATTAAAAATGAATGTTGGACAGTAAATGGTAGTCTTTTTATATTAGTCCGTTTTTACTAGGTTAAATGATAGTTATGTCAAAATTTCTTCACACACACACACACATATATGAAGAAATTTTTTTATTTAATTATAAATGTAAAATTTAAAAATAATATATATATATATATATATGACTGAATAGGACCAAAACATAAGTCATTTTCCAACATAAAACTTAAACTTTTTTATTCCCTAAATAGGACTTAATAATGCCTAGGGAGAATAATAATGTCCAAGTAATGCTGGACATTTAGTTGAATAATGACTAACAGATAATGACAAATAGTCTTACATTGTAAAATAAAAACATATATATGGTCGAAAGTCATTATGTTTTATATGTCCTCTACCACAA